ATACTACTAAATATACGACTAACATGATAGTAATTCATGCACAATACGTATTGTTTGAAGGTAATTGACAATGTTTCGTGATGAATTTCACTAGTTCGGACTTCCATTGTCTACTATATAAAATGATTTGAAATCCCTGAAACAACTAAAAAAAAAAAGAATAATTAAAAATGAATAGCTGAAAATAACAATTATATTAAGCAAAATAAACCTGAAATCAAATAATAGTGAAATAAACTACAAGTAAAAATAGAACAATTGAATAAATAAAAACAAAATAAAAATGAAGGAATGAAAAAAGAAAAGAAAATAATATAATTGTTATTTTCAGCTATTCATTTTAAATCCCCTTTTTTTTATTTGTTTCAGGGATTTCAAATCATTTTATGGAATGGAAGTCCGAACTAGTGAAACACAATACGTATTATTGTGAAAAGATCACTTAGATACCATTGTTTGTTATGTGGTGCTTTTAGAGATGCTAAATGATATAATTATTCACCAACAGCTGAAATCTAAAATCACTAATGGTAGGAGCACTGGTGCAAACGAGTATAATACCAAAAGTAAAGATGATCATTCCTAAAGTGTATTATATTTTTGGAAAAGTATCCACATATCAAGTTTGGTTTCGAGGGAAAAAAACTATTACAATCAACATCAGATTTGACCGAAATTCCTTTCTCAACTGTACGTAAAATAGTCAAAAACAAACCTTATGAACACAAGACGCGATTTGATGCGGGATTACCAAAACCTTTAGGTGTTCATCGAATAAAATCATTTAAAAAAACATTATACGACTGTTACAAAAGCAATGAGATTCCTACTGAAATCATAAGGAAGAAATTGAATACTTCCGGCCATAACGTGAGCTGCTGTGACAAAACTCTTCAGAATTGGATGAAGAAACTAGGATTTAGATTTAAAATAATAAACAAACGTCAAACAGTTATGGAAAGCAGCAGAATAGTGGAATTGCGTAAACAAATACTCAGAACAAATAACTAAATATAGACAAGAACAACGGCAAATTTTCTATTTGGACGAAACTTGGTATGACACTCACGACACAGTTACGAAAGGGTGGACCGATGATTCGAGAATGTATACGCCTAACATGCCTGAAACAAAGGATCGCGACTAATCATTGTGCATTGCGGTTCCGAATGGTTTGAAAACACATTGATCCCAAATTTGGATGCGAATAGTAAATAGTTCTTGACAACGCTTCCTATCATTCGCGACAGCTCATCAAAGTACCGAATAAAAATTCAAGGAAAGATGAAATACAAAGTTTTTTAATGGATAACAATTTGTATTTTGAAGATAACTATACCAAAAACCAACTACTTGAAGTTTTACATACAAAAACATTTGAAAAAGTGTATGCCCTTGAGAGTATTGCTGAAAAGTATGGACACACCATATTGAGACGTCCCCCCTATTTTTGTGTGTTCAATCCCATCGATTTGATTCGGGGAAAATTGAAACAAAGCATCAGGCGTAAAAATGATTTTCCAAAATTTTATAAGAAGGTGACAGAGCTAGTTGAAGAAGAAGTATCTAATATTACTGAAGAAGACTGGCAGAAAAGGTGGAAATAAATTCATTATTGATTTAAATGACGACAGTGATAGTGAAACGGAGAATATGGAAAATGAATTATCAGAAGCTTTCGAAGAAAGTTAGTGAAGTATTTTTGAAGCGTTCGATTGTATATATATGTGAGTAAGTAGTTAGGTTAGGTCAGTTAGGTGAGTGAGTCTATTCAACCCTCCACCGCAACCCGCAAGGGTTTATTGTGGTTCACACCTATTCAAGTGTGAGTAAGTAGTATTCAGAAGTATTTTCAATCATCACTCTGTTATTTGAATCCTTCCTTTCTTCCAACAAATGTGCGGTTGTCTTCTGTTGTTGATTCCGTGCGTATGTGTTGTTTCTTGCTTGCGGCAAACAAGTGTTGCCCATCTTTACACTTGGCTGTACCGCGCTGATGAGGCCAATAGCCAGAAACACGTGTCCGCGGTTTGCCCCCCTTTTTTGAAGTGTTGTGTCCACGAATAGTTTCATTTTGGATTTAGAATAACAAAATTTGTTAGCTCCCTAACTATTTTATTAAAGGGGAACTGCTGGAAGGTAGGGGGCACTATATCGTTTACTTGAACTATACTTCTCTCTCTCTCTCTATCCCTCTCTTTGTAATTTATATGGCCCTTGCTTTTTAAAGAGAAGCTTCGTCCGGGAGCGCAGCGGTCTGGCTCGATGCAATGCTGTCACTCTAGTTTTTTCATTCACTTTTTATTTCAACAAAAACACTTCATTTTTCACTGGTCGCCTACTTCTCGGATGTCTTTCGGATAAAAATAAAACAAATACACATGTTTATATATTTTACAGAATTGACGACCTCATCGGATCTGTCGACATCCAGCCTGGTTACTGGCGTAGGGGGGCGCCAGTCCTCTCATCTGTCACTTCAATATTTATTCAAAAATAAATTCATTTCGATTACACTTCATTTTTAACTTACACCGTTTGGACTCCACTCCGACCACGACATCCACGTGACCACGCGTCATCGGCACAACCGTCCTCTGTCGCGATCGGAGAGGAAATCTCGCGTTTGTACTTAAGCAAGTCACAAAATACTGGAATTTGTATTTTTCATAATTTCCAAGTGAAAAGAACGTTTTGATTTTTAAATTCCATTTCACTTTAACTTTGAAATCACTTTCGCCCATAACACAACACAACAAAAAAATATTTTTTGAATGTTTCCTACACTAAATTAGTCAATTTCTACTAATTTTGGGGTGATAAAAACGAAAATAACAATGAAAAATTTTTATTAGCTCTGGTTTTTGAGATACACAGTACTTAATCTTAAAGAGTAGTTATACTATACGTGAAAAGTGAAAGTACATAAAACAATATTGTTATGTTTCTTTTAGAA